GGGACGCGTGCCGGGTGCGGTGGCAGCCGTCCCGCTCTCACCGTGCCGGAAGGGTGCCCGCCAACGGCTGTTGCTGTCACGGCTCCTCTGGGGGGCTTTTAATTTGAGCGTGCCATGGTTTTAGCTGTAACGGTGCTTTAATGCACAAGTGCAGGCTTGTGTTTCACCCGAGGGATCGAGGTCACAGCCCGCTACGAAGCCTCCGTGAGCAGGCTCTGTGCATGCTGGCCCTTCTGGTGCGACAGCCACTTCCATCTCTCAAATCCAGTTTCAATGGAACCCTCCCATCCCCTTTTGTTCTCCTTTGGGCCAAAATTACCTTTGGCGTAATGCTAACAAAGCTCGGAGCACCCATGTTTCAGTGCTCAGCGTTCAGGAAAGCCTTTCCCTGCTCAGCTGGGCTGAGAGCTCTGGGTCAGAGATAGGAGGGGAGGCTTGCAGCACCCTCCCGCTGCTCTGCAGAGAGACAACCTCCTTCTAAACAGGACAATGTGTGTCTAAATGCCCTGGTGCTCGGACTGTCAGGTCTTGAAGATGAGCAGCCTTTTTCCAAGGTTCCCTTTAAGTCAGTGATATGGGCTGACTCCGTTTTATTTTTGGCTCCTCGCTTACCAGTACAAAGGAGGGCGCCTCTATAAATTTTCAAGCTGCAGCCCATGGAGCTGGAGAGTGCATTCAAGGAATGGGAAATATTGCATGAATTGGAGCCACGGGCACCGCGCAGCCTCCCAGCTGGGAGCCCCTGGCAGCAGGGCTGGGCTGGCGGCTGGTTACCTCCCTACAGCCACCGCCACCTCCGGAGGGACCTTCACCGGGGCTCGAGCCCTGGTTGAGGTCAAGCCGCGTAGGGAATGGCACTACCCATACCCTGCTCGCATGAAGGGAGCAGCGATGCTTCCAAAAGTTGGTGCGGAGAAAGTCCTACCTTTACGACGTCCTCGTTTATGCGCTTTGGGTCCCTGTTGACCAGGTCGATCTCCTTGGTGTGCTGGTCCTTGACGATGATCCTCTCCTCCAGCTCTGTCTGTCCTTCTGCCATGGCTGCTCGGCTGCCGGCTTGGCTGCGGGCGGCCGCGGGGCAGGGAGTGGGGG